CCTGCTGGGAAGGCTAACTGCACAAAGTTCCCTCGCTGAGGTCCCTCTCACTCTGTCAGAGCCATGATCTGCTGCCAGTATTTCATTGCAGAGCATCTCAGTGCCAGTGTGAGCACATGGAGTGTGTGCAGGGCTGTGCAGGACTGCCCCCAAGTGTTATGCTGGCAAGGGAAAGGGCCTGAACTTGAACATGAAGCAAAAGGCTTGGGGGAAGAAGAGAGTTTTTGGGTCACTGGCCCTCATCAGAGTAGACACTGCATTCATTAGCAGAACAGTTTGTGGTTTGCCCTTTTACCACATCTGTTGTTGCATTTTTCAGACTGCTGAGCCTTCAATTAGAGTTCATTAGAGACCTTGTCAGTCACAGCCCTCCAGAATCCTGCCTGAAAGGATCTGTATGGTGCTGGGAATGGGCCTTGGCATGGAATACTCTGCTTGGGATTCAGTTAGTCATTGTTTGTAAATACACTACTCAGGGGCTGGCAAAGTGTGCAAGAGGACTGAGAAATCTCTACAGAAAGAGCTTAATGTAGGCACATCCCTTTGTAAGGGCAGCTAATTTAAGTTAGGATAATTTTCCATGGAATTGCTCTGAAAACTAAGGCTTGGAGCATCTACCTGTGGGCAAAGTCTGAGCTGTAAGGCAGTTCCTCCAACAGGAGAGACATTTATTTATAGTGCAGTGATGGATTGGGCAAAATCACTGCTCTGGCATTTCAGTTTGGCCCGAGGAGTGGGTTAATTCTTGTGTGTCTAAATTTAAGTCAGAATTCCATGTGTAATGACTGTTGGAGATTACACTGCTCTTCACTGGGTTTGTCATGAGGATGTGACAAGCCAAAGGTTGGATTCCATGATCTTGGAGGTCTTTTCCAACCTAAATAGTTCTGTGAAGTGATATCACTTGGAACATTAATACTGTGTCACATAAATACTGTGACATAATAAATACCTCCTCATTGCCTCATGTTGTTCAGGAATCTCTGCTGTGTATTCACTGTTGCTTCTCATGGAAGTCAGTTGTGAATCACATCTGTTCTCATCACTTGCTGAAAGTATTGATGGTGTTCTCTGGATGGAAATATTTCTTGGTATCAGTTCAGAGTGAGTTGTTTGGCTCATGGAGGTCACAGTGGCATGAAGCAGGGAAGCTGGTGGAGTTCAATTCCAAGAGGCAGGACAGTTTATCCTGAAAGATCAGAACAATCCAAGGGAATTGTCCTCCTGCTTCCTTTCTCTTAAGATCAGCTGTACAGTAAGACAGTCCCTTGTACTTTTAGGCTGTGTTCTCTCCAAGAGAAACCTTGAAGAAGGCATCAGCTTCCAGGCAGAGCTGCTGTCCCTCCTGGGACACCTTGGCAGCACATACCAGGGTGGGTGAGTGATAGGCTGAGGTCACAACCTCCACAGTCCTTTTGGATTCACTGGCATGGCTTAGAGTGGTGCATCTTGGAGGTGGATTTAATGTGCTCCTGGGCCTTGTGCAGCACAGAAGGGTTTGTGACAGGATTGCCTTGATAGCTTTGACTAGAGGACAGAAGTTGATTTGCTCTCAGGCTTGGTAAAAGTTAAGGAGGTTCCTTTTCAAGCACAAATTTCCTGCTTAGTGTTTCATTTGGATGTTTGCCTGGGTGTGTATTATATAAATTAGATGGAAAATGGAGCTGACTCAGGAAAATCTGATGGATGGCAGAGGGGACAGAGACTTGTCCTCAGCACACAGACAAGCAGACTCCCTGGGAGAGTGGGGTTTGCTCTCAGCCACAACTGTCTTCTTCTCTTCCCACTAAAATTGGTGTGGAAATAACACTCAACTTCTTCCCAGAAGTGAAAGCTTTCTTGAAGAACAGAATCAAGTAATGC